GGGTCCCACGACAGCTTGGCCCACTCCATTGCCACCTGGATCCGGTCGATCTTCGTTGTTGGCTTATGTTGGGCTACCAGTGCGTCGTAGGCGATGCGGACGCGTGTGTGCCCATCGATGTATCGGTACTGGCTGGGCTCCAAGGTGTCGATGAGGATTCCGAATGCCTTTTGGACCTCGCTGCTGGCGTCCAAGGCAGTTGACGTCGGCATTTGGGTAAGGAGTTGATGCATGCCCTTCATCATGAGCTTTCCGCGAAAGTAGGTGTCCCATTCGCGGAAGTTGTGGTCGTTCAGCTTGAGCGTGGCGGTGATGTTCACCATGGTCCTTCTTGTTTGTAAGTGCCTTGTGTTGGGCTCATAATCTCTTGAACTGACGTGTTTTGTAGTAAGGTCGTCGGTCGAGGAAGACAATGACAGCAGGCGGTTAGCCGGCGACTTAAGACTAAGAGGGGAAATCGACAAGTGAATTCATCCTTTAATAGACTTGTTTTCATACATCCAGTTCTTCTCTTACTTGCGCATGCATGACGAGCTTGCAGCTCGCCCTTCAACGCCGCTATTCGGCCATTGGTGTTCAATGCAACTATGTAAACACAATCCCCGCCATGACCTTTCGTTACCAAGTTATTTGTTTCCGGATCCGGTTGCTTGGACTAGGGATCGCGGCAATCTTCGACACCGACTCGTTGCGCATTGCGATGCACGTAATAGAACCGCACCACTTACTGCTGTCTGCCGTCGCCACGTCCGTAGATGCTGTGCGGTTGGCGTTAGGCCAGTTGTGCAGCGGCGTCTGGGCGGCAGCCGCCTTGCTCGTTCGCGGGGATGGAAATGTCGTGTGGTTCACTTGAACTGAGCCACGCCCGCGTTTTTAGCGAGTTCGACGTGGATGATGCGCATTTGCATGAGCGACACGACATGTTTCAAGTGCACAGCCTTCCCAATCGGTTGGAACGGTGCTGGCCACGGCTGAGGGCGTCGCAGGCCCTACGAAGCCTTGTTCGAGCATCGTGTGCTCGCCTTTTTGTCGCGAACAAGTTGGAGGGACGTGCTCGAGTTGGCACATCGACGAACAACGGTAGATGTCGCCTCCCGACGTTATCCACGCCATGCTCGACGTCCTGGTCATGAGCCTCTCGTACGCACTCGACAACGACGCAGTTGAATCGCTTATGCGACTGGAGGCCATTGCTCCACAGTACGCGGCCAAGGAAGCGCACGACATGGGCGACGGACCACAGCCCGCAGTGTGCAAGGATGTCTGGTAAACTTTGCGTCACATCACGGCGTCCTGCGTCGCGTACGCCTTGGGCGACGAGGTCCGCGTCATGGTAGTCGCCGTGCCCGTCGATATTCAATTGCATGACTGTGTGTTTGCCAAGGGAACAAGAAGGAGCGATGGACGAGAGAAGAGTGCGAACGTCTGCGTATTCGCATGCATGTGGCGGTACCACAGGCATCACGCCGTAGGGCAGTACTACACCTGTGGTAGGACCTGAGCTGGCCACAGCCTGGCTGCGGTCCTGCTGCCTGGGGACTTGCAACGACGACGACGGCTTCGAATCTGCACGAACTGGCGTGTACGCCCGCTCCTTATGGTGCATTCTCTCGCAACAGACCAAAATGCATTGGCGGCGACAGTCTCGATCTTGTTCGTCGAGGACCACAAGCCTCGTCCCTCCGCGTCGTAAGCAGCACCCTCCACATGTTGAGTTGGTGGGCCTCCGCCTGCGGAGGCCCACGAGAGTGCACTACCGCGTCGCACTCGACTGCAACAGGACGAGCAGTCGCAACAGTCATGACCACGTGCCTCTCGCCTGTGCCATGATGCAAAAAATCCCTGAACAGCAGTCGACTAAATTAAAAATCCCTCGGACGCGCCGCCCACCGGCACCTCGATCGTCGGATAATGATGGTATTCGAGCACGACGGCGGTCGGGTCCTGCGCCGTCACAAGCGCTTTCACGCGGCCCCGCTGAACCTTACCGCATGCCGTCAACGGCATCGCGTTCGGCTTGATCACGACGACCTTTCCCACGTGGAGATCGTGATGGGCCACAACGCACTTGATCACGGCATTGCACAAGCTATGCGCCACGACCGGGCCATCGCGCGCATGTTGAATGTCCGATTTCGTTTCCACGACCACCACCGCCATGTCACGGTCGCCGTACACACAGACATGGGACACGAGCGCGCTGCAGTGCCGCACGGATGTCTCGACCACATACGGCGTGAGCCACCGGTCCGGCAGTTGCAGCACGTCGACGGCTCGGCCCACGACGTAGAGCTCGCCCAGGTACAGCGCGCCCAAGTCGCCCGTACGATGGTACGTTAATGGCGCCAATGTTGGGTCGACGGTGGCCAAAGGTGACTTCAAACCAGGCCGACCGGTGTGCCGCAGGCTATGCTTGCTCCGCCGAGTCGATGGCACGTGCAGCGTTCCTTGTGTAAACTTGTACTGGTGGTGGCTCGCGGGGTGATGGAGGTAGCCGGGGGACAAGGATGGCCCATGGACCCAAATCTCGCCGATGAGGCCCTCTGGCAGCTGGATACACGAAACAGGATCCACCACGATGACAGACATGTGCGGGAGGGGCCATCCCGACGACGTCAAGAGCATCACGTCCTTGGAGTCCGAGCTCGAGTTGTCCGGGAGGGTGTCGCTACCAAGAACGACCGCGTCGAGATCCACGTGATGGGTCTCCGCGGTGGCATCGAGTGGTTCGAGTTGGTGGCACTGCTCCAGGACACGGCGGCTCACGGCCAGGACGTGAGGCGGCTCCGTCGTCCGAGTCGTCGAGGTGACCATACCCATGGCTTCCCCGACCGCAAACCCACATGCGACTTGCGACGGTCGCAAGTGAAATGCGTGGATGAACCGTTCCATGGTCGTTGGGTGCAAAGGCCCGCCGATCGACATGACAGATACGAGGGACGACAAGTGCCGCCGGTCGACGACGGATGTCCCGGAGCGCGAAATGGAGTTGGTAGCACGCCGACTCGCTGCCGCCGCCGCAATCGTCGAAGGAGACGCGGATGCTAACACGGCGCGCTCCGACGCCACCACGTCCATCCATCGACACGGGTCGGTCTCCATCTCGCGCGTGCTGACGACAACGCTTCGGCACCCGTGGACGACAGGCACAATCACCGCGTGCACCAACGCACTGGGTGTGTGTAGTGGAAGCGTCGTCACCACACAATCCGTGGGCTGGATCCAATCGAACGGTGCGCCACCGGCGGCAGCCAAGTTTGCGTGACTGACTTGTACAGGCTTGCGGTGCACATCGGACGAGCCGGCAGTATACACGATGCACGCCACAGTCGACGCGCCAAAGGACGACGCGTGTTCGACGATGCGGGATGACGTTGCTTCTGAAATGGCTGGCGCGCGGTCGGCGGGGAGCCACACGACGCGACTGGCAGCGCGCGACACGTCGGCGCTGTGGTCGTCAAACGTGGCAAACGTTTGCATGAAACTCTGTCGCAGTTTGTCGTTTTTCTTGCGGTGAAACAGCTTGGTCAAGTGCAGCGCATCCTTGACCTTGTCGAGTTTGCGTTGCCGCAAGAACGACGACGTTGTGAGGCCCAGCACAGCCTGTGTGTCCTGCTGCACGCGATGGAGGGTCTGTGCGTCGTCCACGATGACGGCAACCGCACCGGCATACAGACATCCCCAGAATGCAGCAACCAGCTCGTGTGTGCTGCCGTCGGGAGGGTACCACAACAGCACACAGTCGCCACGCGAAAACACCGGCCGGTCCACACGTTTCGGTGCACCAGTCAACATGGACGCGATCCGGCGGGCGGACATGTCCAACGAAGCAAACGTCATGTCGACACTGGAACCAATGGCGGCCGAAGTGAATGTGCACGCGACCTTGTTTGGCGACGTGCCGGCGCGGCGGTGGAGGGACGACGTGAGCAACGACGTCGCTCCTGTCGAACTGAGAATGAGTCCGTCGCCAGGGCGTCGGTCGTCGTCGTCCACAGCCTCGCCTCGTGCGATGGGAGGATTCGCGAACGACATCGGATGCGGCGGCGGTCGATGCGATCGTGACCAACTCCCGACTCGACTTCTCGCGATACCTGTTGTTGGGTGCTGGATCGAGCAGGTTGTGGACCACCTGGCATTTGATTGGCCACTTGGCTTTTTTCTCGTTTCGGATTGGTCGATTTTCTCATATCTGAGCTTTCGCACGGCCTTTGTCCGCGCGGCGCGCGAGACCAACGCGGCGCCAAGCCCGTCCAAAAATCGGCCGCGTCACGGCGGCCGGGTTGGTTCTGCTCTCGTCTCGAAGAACGGAACATGGATGCATTGGGACCTACACCTGCGGGAGAGGTGCGTAGAAGTGGGACCGTTGCATGGTCATGGGATCTGGTTTTGCTTGGGCACGTGGGATGCTTCCACTGATCACGGCACAAATCACGGGGTCAGCCCAAATTGCTCCTACTGCTGAGCACGCTGACGAGTCCCTCAGTCGTGGATGAACGTCCTCGACAAACGCCGGAATGCTTCGTGGACTGCGGCACCTCTGCCTCCTCGCGTGGACGCAAACATCCGCTTCGTTCCTGACGCCCCTCCAAGATGGATATTTCCCAGGTCAGTGCAGGCCGCCTCCGCAAAGTAAACTTGCCAACTCTGTGGCGGAGGCATCGGGTTGGGGGGGGTGACGTCATTCACGTGGCAGTCGTTGCTCCTAAACTCGGGGACGTCAGCGCTTGGCAGCTCGAACTGTAGGCCATCACGGACTCGCACTGCACACGGGATGGATTTGACAAAGAGCGCTGGCACGGTGAGCTCGAGACGGCCAATGGACAGGGTTACGCGAGTTGGCAACGACAACATCGAACGTCATGTTTGCCACCGCGACCGTTGCTGTGCTCCGTTGGATGGCGCACAGTCGACACGCTATTGAGTTGGCTACTGAGCAGCATGGAAGCGGCAAGGTTTTCCAGGACGTGCGGTACTGAGGCACGACAAAAACACTTGCACCATCCGACTCAAACGTCCGTCTGTGCAGGAACTGAGACAGCAGCATGAACGACGCACCAGCCTTGTTGACGACGGGCTCGACAAGGCGATGGCACCGAGCGAGAAATCGACCTGTCGAGTTTCCAACACATGCCGAATACGCGTTGCCTGAGCCGTACCACGACAGAGACCAGTATACAACTGCAAAGGTCGCCATGACTGTGCCTCTGCGCATGGCCAGGTAGGTCATCTACCAAGCGGCACGTCACCCCACGCTCTCAGTCCACAGCACATGGGCCGATGTGTACTTCGACGTGTGTGATTTCTCGCCACTCTGTTGCGCAGCCGACCATAATCACACGCATGGACTGCATCTTCATCGGTGGTCGCGAGAGAGCGGCAATGTGAGGTTGGAATCGTTGTCGAGAGGAGCGCGTGCCTCTCGCGATCGCGTCCGTCGCTGCTTCACGCGGAGAAATTCGTGGGGCGAGAATGCATGTCGTTGCATCCATGGAAAAATCCTCCGACGATGGGGTGTGAAACGGTGCACAGGGGGATATATGGAGAGGAGGGCTCCGACGATCCTCTCGCCGCGACATGCCGTCTTTTCGAAGCGATCAAACGATGCATGCATTTGGATGGTCAAGGCGCCAAGAACTTGCAGCAAGCCGGCCTCCCCCCCCGTCGTCCAAAGCGCCATTGTGTCGACGTTTCGCCGACTGCATTCGTAGTTCGGTACAAACCATGTCCTCTTTTGAGCGAACCTCCCTGCATATACAATATTTTGATCGATCGGGTGTCGCAGAATGTGTGTTTTCGCTAGATATATTAGTGTTGCTGGAAAATGGTACGATATAATGAACGAACTCTACTCAGGTGCGATATTCCGAAGGGTGAGTTAGTTCGAATGACTTCAGAGCCAAGTTGGCCCAACCCATCGACTGGGAACAGATCGTTGGGTGGGTGGACCAACGGTGCATCGCACATGCTCCCATTCATTCTTCTCTGGAAAGTTCCCTCGCGAGTGGACAGTGTGGTGCCCAGCAAAACGGCAGCTTCAGAAGGGGGCGAAGCATATCATATCCTTTTCGAGAGGTCGGACCATGTGATCCGGGAGACGTTTCTGCATGGACAAAGTGCCACGCACGAACAATACACAATCGTTCGAAGTCGCTGTTTGAGAGGCGCGTGAGCAAAGGGTCCTGAGTTTGAACTCGACCATCACCCAACAGTACCAGCAGTGGATTTATCGTCACATCTCAGGCCGAGCGCCCCAGATGTAGAGTTGATGGGGTTGCTGCCGCTGCCAGGTGTTGGTTGTTTGGCTGGCAGTGTTGTCCTCGGAACGTCGTAGAGGAGGCCATTGAAATAGTGCATAAAATAAACGGATTTGTATTCAAAGTAATATGTGTATAGTCCGAATGAAGTAGAAGAGGACGTAAAATCAAAGCATATTTTCTTCCTGTCAACATTATGTCACGTGGTGTCATTGGCGCGCTTTTATCCGGATCCCGGATATGGAGCAACACCAACCCTTCCGAGCTCAGTTTGGAATTTACGCGGTGGACGAGCCATGTCGAGGGTCACCAAGTACCAGACCGTGAAGCTCGAGACAACGCGTCCAAAGGACGCCAAGTCCCCGCTCGAGACGGAGAATTTCTTGTCGCGATGGCTGTACTTGTGGGCGGACCCGCTGATGAAGTTGGGGAACGAGCGCCAGTTGGAAGCGTCCGATTTGTGGCCGCTGCCGTCGCACAGCAAATGCGAGGTTATCACTGAGTCGTTTGAACCCAAATTCAACGAGTCGAAATCGATTTTCTGGGCGTCGATGGCTGTGTTTGGCACGCAGGCGCTTGTGGTTGGTGTGCTGCAATTCATTGCGATGGTGCTGTCGTTGTACGGACCGATCGTGTTGAACAAGGTCGTGTCGTCGATCGAAATGTCGTCGCCCGATTTTCAAACGCTGGCGGTGCCGGTCGTGACGTTGTTTGCCGTAAAGATCGTACAAGCGATTTTGCAAACTCAAACGGACTTGAAAAACGAACTACTATTTGTCAAAGTCATGGCCGTCTTGCAAAACTTGCTCTACAAAAAGGCACTGCGTTTGAACGCCAAGTCACGAAAGGCTAAGAGCACGGGGGAGGTCTCCAACCTGTTCACATCCGACATGTGGCCCGTGGTCGCGGTCTCGTTCTTCATTAACCAAGTCTGGATCATTCCGCTCCAGGTGACAGCGTTGATGTACCTGCTGTGGCAGCAACTGGACTGGGCCATGTTTTCCGGGATCGGAGTCATGGTAGTCGCGTTCTTCTTGACGCGCTGGTTTGCTACGATGCAGCGCACCAATTGGCGCGTTCTCATGGGCAAGAAGGACACTCGCATGAAGACAATCAATGAAGTGTTTGGGTCCATGCAAATCATCAAGTTGAACGCGTGGGAAGAACGATACTACACCAAGATTTGCGACCTGCGCGCCGATGAACTCCGCTCGCTGTGGACGCAGTTCTGCATCGGCGCCGGCACGACCGCTATGAACAACATCGCACCAGTTGCGCTCACAACCATCTCGTTTGCGTGCTACGTGCTCTTGCTCAAGCAAACCCTGACTGCGTCCAAGGTCTTTACCGCGCTGTCACTGTTCAACATGGTCAAGCAGCCCATGATGCGTCTGCCGCAGATTGTTGCCGCATTCATGCAAGCGCACGTGTCGTACAAGCGTTTCTCTGAGTTTTTGGCGCTGGACGAGCGTGACCCGACTGTCGTCACGTCGGAAGTGTCAGCCAACAGCATCGACATTGAAGTCGTCGACGGGTCCTTCGGTTGGGACGCCGAGAAGCCGTTCTTTACAAACTTGAACCTGACTGTAAAGCGCGGCGAGTTTGTCGTGGTCCATGGAAGCGTCGGCGAAGGCAAGACGTCTCTGTGCAATGTGCTGTTGGGCGAGCTTGATAAGTACAACGGGAAGGTTGGCGTGAACGGTCGCATTGCGTACTTTGCGCAGCAGCCGTGGATCCAAAACATGACGATCCGTGAAAACATTCTGTTTGGGTTGCCGTACGACCGGGTCAAGTACAACCGCGTGCTGGAAGCGTGTGCGTTGGGCACAGATTTGACACTGTTTGCAGCCGGTGACCGCACGGAAATCGGGTCCAAAGGCGTGAATGTTTCGGGTGGTCAGAAGGCCCGCATCAGTTTGGCCCGTGCGTGCTACAGCGACGCCGACATTTTCATCTTGGACTCGCCACTGTCTGCCGTCGACGCGATCGTGCAAAACGAAATATTCACCAAGTGTTTCCTCGGTCTGCTTCGCAACAAGACCATCGTGCTCGTCACGCACTCGCCGGAAATCATTGCGTCGCCGTACGTGGATCGCACGATTGAAGTCTCGAACGGTGGGAACCTCCTCGAAACCATCAACACGGACAAGCAAGACTTTGACATTCTCATTCCACCGTACCCTGCTCGCGCCAACATTTCCACGGAAGACATGGCGGACGAGTTGGACGCCATCGACGCCGAGGGCCGTCCGGGATCGTCGCTCCAATACCTTGATGTTCTCGTGTCGCCGTCGCTTAAGTCGCCGTTTGGCGCGACGGTTGAAGACCATTTGTTCACGCCGTTTGACGCATCGGCCCCGCAAACGTACAACGAAGAAGAGACTCGTGGCAAGCTTGTGGTGACCGAAGAGCGCGAGTCGGGTCGTGTGTCGCAGGAAGTATTTCTCGCGTACTTCAACGCCGTCGGTGGGTGGACGACCGTGATTTTGCTCCTCCTTGTGCAAAGTTTGTGGCAAGGATTGCAAGTGTCGAGCGACTTGTGGCTCAGTTCGTGGACCGCGACAGGTGCGACGCTCACGACCGATGAATTTCAAGCGACTGCGGAGTACAACATTTCCGTGTACGCCGCGCTCGCGATCGGGTCATCGGTCATGGTGGTCGTGCGTGTGTTGACCGTTTCGTTTGCCGGCATTCGCGCGTCCAAGAAAATGTTTGACGACATGACCAAGGCGCTGCTTGGTGCGCCCATGCGCTTCTTCGACACGAACCCGCTCGGTCGAATTCTGAACCGCTTTTCTGGTGACATCAACGCCGTCGACGGCCGGTTGCCCAACCAGTTCGGTTTCTTCTTGTCGACCGTTTTTGTCTTGCTGTTTTCGCTTGGCACGACGATCGTTGTGATCAAGACGCTGGGCCTTGTCCTGTTACCCCTCATGTTTATCTACTACAAAATCGCATCCGTGTACGTCCAACCCGCCCGTGAAATGGAACGCTTGAACAAGACAACTCGATCGCCCCTGATCACGCATATCTCGGAAAGTATCGACGGCGCGATCGTGGTCCGCGCGTTTGGTGGCAAGCAAGTCCGTCGCTTCGAGCGCCTCCAGCAAAACAAAGTCAACCGGAACATGGAGACGATGTTCTGCGGCGAGCTCGCATCGCAGTGGTTTTCGTTCCGCATTCAAATGATCTCGGCGTTCATGCTGTTAGTGACCACCATGTCGCTCATCTACATGCGATCGTACTTGAACGCTGGTTTGGTCGGGTTAGTCTTTGGGTACTCTCTGCAAATTACGGGTCAACTCGAATGGATGGTCCAAATGTGGTCCCAGTTAGAAACCGCGATGGTTGCCCCCGAACGTGTTGCCGAGTACACGAACGTGGTTCAGGAAGCACCCCGCGTGATCTCTGGCGCGGTTCCTGCGTCGTGGCCGGAAGACGGCTCGATCGCGTTCAACAACGTGAGCTTCCGCTACAAGCCCAACGACCCGCTTGTGCTAAAGGACGTCAACTTTTCGATCAAGTCGGGCGAAAAGGTCGGCATTGTCGGGCGCACGGGTGCCGGCAAGTCGAGCCTGACCATGGCGCTGTTCCGCATCAACGAGATCGCGTCCGGTAGCGTCGTCATTGGCGGCGTCAACACTTCGACGGTCGGTGTCAAGACTCTACGCGAAAGCATGGCGATTATTCCGCAAAATCCGATCCTGTTCAAAGGCACGCTGCGGTCGTATTTGGACCCGTTCGACCAGTACACTGACGCTCAGTTGTGGGACGCGCTCGAGAAGGTCAAGTTGACCCCACGCATTGCCCAAGAAGAGAAGAAGCTCGAGTCGACCATCGAAGAAAACGGCGAAAACTACAGTGTCGGCGAACGCCAAATGCTGTGCATGGCCCGCGCTCTCCTTCGCAACTGCCACATTGTCGTCATGGACGAAGCGACCGCTGCCATCGACCACGAAACAGATCAAAACCTCCAGCGCGTGATCCGTGAAGAGTTTGCGTCGTCGACGGTGCTCACGATCGCCCATCGCTTGGACACGGTGCTTGATGCCGACCGCATCATGGTGTTTGACCAAGGCCGCGTTGCCCAATGCGACACCCCCGAGGCGCTGATTGCTGCTGGCACGGGCATCTTCTTTGAGCTGTGCAACGAAGGCGGGTATTTGGACAAGGTTCACGCGTCCACCGCTTCGTCGACCAGTCCTCGAGAAGATGAAAGCATTGCCGAGGAATAGAAGGACTGCACGTATGGAATAGAACCCCACTCGACTCATTTCAGGTGTACATCCTTTCGAAGTTTCAAATTCGGTGGTTGGCACAGTCAGGACGCACATGGTCACTTGGTCACATTGGCGTTGAGTTGGCAAACAATCGCCCCGTTCGCCCAAATGGACGATGCAATCGATGCGAAGCACACGCACCATGAGGTGCACGTGCGCTTCAAGCATCGCCACGAAATGCATCGACGGGCGGCCGCTGGCTTTCATGAGCGGCAAAGCGCGCAGAACTTTTGGTCGACGTCACGTTCCGATCGTGTTGGATCCAAAGGATTAAGTACAGGGTGCTTCTTTCGCCATGTTTGCGGCGGCTTTGGTCTGTGCTTTGACCGAGGACGTATCGAAAAAGGTGCGCATGGTGGCTTCCACGTCGACGGCAGACGGGGTTGCCGTGACGACGTGAGCTTGACACACCTTGAGCAACGTGGTCAAGTAGAACTCCAAGTCACAGCACATGCCTTTGACGACCAGTGCGTTCGTTCGTCGAAAGAGGGGTTGCCGGGGACATCGCAGCGTCGACAGCGCCGCTTGAAAATCCGTATCGTCCACCGAGTCGACCAAGCGGCGGTGGAGCCTTGCCACGTCGTGCAACGTGCACTGGATGCACCACGACTGTCGAGTCGGCATCGTCAGCTTGACAAGAAAGACGACGTGGGTTGGTGCAAAGAGGGCCCGCGGTCGCGTTTTGCAGATGCTCGTGCCCTGGACGCTGCAGTCCAGGTCGGCGAACGACGTTTGCCGCGCCGCCATCGACAGACGTTTCAGGGGTGTTGTCATTGCGATCCAAACTTGAAAAGTGCGCCGATTTTTTGAATCGAGCCTGCATTCCCAGCACAAACATTCCTTCAAGTTTAAACGAGTACACGTGGCCTGATGTCCCGATTTAACGGACTACGTTGAACCTATTGGATTGGTCAACTGTATTGAAAACCGTTTCAAATGTCGTATGCGACATGGAGTGTGCCCACCTCTCGAGCAAGGGCCGCGTTGTCGGCGACGTCCGAGCGCGACCGTTTCCATGGACGTGATGGCTGTAATAAGCATGGATACACCCCCGGGTACGTTCATGTATCCAGCGTCGTCTATGCTTCGTTGGGTGATGCCCCCTCCTGTCAACGTCTTGTGATGGAGCGAGGCAGACTCTGGAAAAATTGTCGCTCAAAGTTTTCACTGAATTCCTCGCCGACATCTCTTGGCATGTGTGCGATGTTAGGATGCGTGATACGTGGCGGAGGCGCTTCTTCGCCGGTGCATTGCAGGCCGTGGAGGCATCCTTCCACACTTTGGCAACGCACGCGTACGATATCTGTCAACGACGCAAGGTGCTTCATCTTTGCACATCGATTTGGTCGGCATGGTGCCTCAACTGGTGGAAAGCACCGTCAAGATTGGAAAACGGTCTTTGTCCGCACCAGCGTGAATGTTTCGACAGAGCGGACGGTGCCGATGGCGGACGCACCGGTGTGGAAGCTGCAAGCTTGTCTTCCTGCTCGTGCTGACTGTGCCTTTGAGCTACCAGGAATTCAGAGAGAGGGGCTCTGCTATGCCAAGTTGCTGTGCATGCCGAGGGTTTATGCATTGTCACATTACGACACTTCGACTTTTGTGTCGGGCGCGTTTAAGTACTCTGCCATCGACGCTTCATACACGCGAACCTTGGGGAAGCCCAAGAGTTCTTCCAACACGAACGCAGTGTGCGCAGCACGAATCCCACGCTGGCAGTACGTGACGACGGGCTTGTCGGCGGACAGACCGGCCGCCGCGACGAGAGCGACGAGTTCGTCCGTCGACTTGAATTGACCGCTCGGCTGCAGGGTGTCGGACCACTCCAGATGCAGAGCGCGGGGGACGTGGCCCGGTCGGGCATTGCCGTGCGCTGCCGCTCCGGTGTATTCATCCGCCGACCGCGTGTCCAGGATTTGGACGCCCGCGTCGGCGCCAGCGGCTACGAGTGCCTTGAGTTCGTCCAGCCCAATCACGCGAGAGGAGTCCATCTGAATACTATCGTAGCCATGAGGCAAACACATGCAACGAAATATGCCTCGGATACGTACGCAGGTAGCGTCGACGACACAGGACTTGACGGTGGCACCACTTGGCATGACACTTCGAAGTCGTGTTCGACCCAGTAGCGGAATCCGCCGTTCAGGATCTATCCAAATGATGCGCGTCAATTGGGAGGAACCCTTGGCTTCATGGAGGACATGCCAGTGGGCCATAAGTACAGCCGCGCCAGCGACATTTGTGACGCGGATACGAACCTTGAGTTGATCCTTGGGGAATCCGAAATAGCGACTCACCCACCATGCGCGTGTAGCTTGCTATACGAGTCCGACAGAACGCTTTCTTGAGTGAAAGGTACGACGGTATCGTGGGATGCAAAGTTGTACCAAATGATTCGAGTCGTCGTAGAAGACTAGGGTCGTGTCGAGTTCGACAGGAAGGGTAGCCAAGTACGATCGAAAGTACTTCTCCGTGATGATGTGGAAAGGATCCTTCGGGTCCTATGAGTAGCACGAGCATAAAGCTTCCGCCAGGACAGCAGGACAGATGGGATTCCACCTTGGAGGGCAGACCAAAATGCAGCGCATTGGGGACGTGACCACGGTGATACCCGTCGAGCGATCCACAATCCAACACAACGAGTTTATCTTTCGTGTCAACGATCCATTCAGGCGTGACCAGCGTATGGCGCAAGCGGCGCGCAGGCAAGCGGCGCGCAGGCAAGCGGCCGCGACTTCCAGTGGCGATGCGGCGAAGATGCATCAAGATCGAACTTGGACTGACTGTCAAATGAACGCTTCATCCGGATAATGGATTTTTCACAGAATGGATGGCTACGTTAAACTACTTTGACATATTTTAACCACCTTGCGGTTTGTTAAGAGGCGCTTTTTTCATGAGGTTGGTATTGGTGAGGTTCCCCAATTCATAGCTTCACGATGTCGATGGTATAATACGAGTGTGCAAACATCAAATGGGTTCTCCGTATCGCTTGCGATCGATGTGTACGCCTGTATCGTTGAGTATGCATAGTGAATGCATCTGCTTGAACGTTTCGAGTCTGGTGGTGTTCGGCCTGCCCCTGTTCTCACGTTGCAATGAATAAAAACGTCGCGTTGAAACGAATTGGTCAGTGGAACGAAGCATTGTCCGGATAGTTGGGCGACGGTCGATTTAATTTGAAAAATTGTATCTTCCATACAAACAACAACTATACCACGGATATTTAAATGAACGGACAAAAAGAGTGGTTGAAACCAGAGCAAAAATATACACTTGCGTTCAGTATGGTCGAAATCGAAACCTTGACAAGCTCAAAACGCAACTTACTTGCATCAAGAAGGATGAGCGACGTGGACCCGCAAGAAACCAAAGCCGACGTGCCGGTGGTCGAAGACTGCAGCAACACGGACGTCGTGACTAAGTACCGCCTCGCTGCCGAGATCGCGCAATCCGCGTTGGAAGGCGTGATCGCCCAGTTGCTACCTGGCAAGTCGGTTGTCGAAGTCGCCACGTTCGGCGATGCGTTGATCACTGCCCGTGCCGGCACCGTGTACAAGAGCAAGAAAGTCGAGAAAGGCATTGCGTTCCCCACGTGCTTGAGCGTGAACGAAGTCGTGTGCCACTTCTCCCCTCTTCCCAGCGAATCCGTCACGTTGAAGGCTGGTGACTGGGTCAAGATTGACTTGGGTTGCCACATCGACGGGTACATTGCCGTCGTCGCTCACACTGTGATCGTCCCTGATGCTGAAGGCTCGGACAACATTGTCCTCGGCACCCAAGCCGATGTGCTCAAGGCCGCCCATGACGCTGTCGAACTGTGCGCGCGCTTGATCAAGCCCGGTAACACGAACGCCCAAGTTACGGAAGCGTTGGAAGCACTGGCGGAGGCGTACGGTGTCAAGGCGTTGTCTGGTACGCTCATGCACCAACTGAAACGCTTTGTCATCGACGGCAGCAAGACGATTGCGGTCAAGAATGACCCGGAAACCAAGGCCGCGCGCGCCACGTTCGACGTGAACGAAGCGTACGCTATCGACGTTGCATTCACGACGGGGTTGGAGAAGCCCGTGCAATCTGAACGCCGCACGACCGTGTTCAAGCGCCAAGTCGACAAGAGTTACCGCTTGAAGATGAAGGCGAGCCGCTACGTGTTTTCGGAAATCAACTCCAAGTTCCCCACGCTTCCGTTTACGATTCGCGCGTTCGAAGACGAGTCCCAATCGCGTCTGGGCGTCAGCGAGTGCGTCAAGCATGACCTGTTGACCCCGTTCCCCGTGTTGGAAGGCCGACATGGCGACCACATTGCGCACTTCAAGGCGACGGTTCTGCTCCTGCCGAACGGGACGACCAAGATCACCGGGCTCGCGTTGCCGGTGGACCGCGTCAACTCGGACAAGGTGCTCACTCCCGAATTGGCCGCCGTCCTCGGGTCGTCGTTGAAGAAGAAGAACAAGAAGAAGGCCAAGAAGCCTGCCGCCTCCAAGGCCGTCGAAGACGATTTGGAATAAACTAATTGGGAAATCATTTTGTTCTGCCTTTGACATGACAGAATGGATGTAAGCATGCCCCAACACGTCCTTATGACGCACGGCGCCCCACCGTGCAATTCCGCCGATACGGCGCCGGCCTGCAAGGTGGGCGTCGAGTCTCGCCGTCCCTTCCACCACATTCGTCGTCGAGCGAGGTGTACACGTCGGGTGGACTCGAAGCAAGTCTAGCCCAACCAACCGCTTCCTTTCCCATTCTTACCATCGTCATGCAGCCGGCACCATGTCGATGCCTCTGCCTCCTTCGCGATCTCGGTTGCTGCGACCTTTCCATCTTAAGGAGTCGTATCCGGTTAATATCCGGATGGGCCGTTCCGTTGGGCGATTCTCGTTCCTAGCTGACTTTTGACGGCAATGCGGCTGACATTTGAAGGGCCGTTTGCGGGAAGCGCTGAAGAGTTGGCACTTTCCGCCGTTCCAGAGTGCCATTACTGCGGCAGGTCACGATGGTCCATGCAGCCGATGGACCTTTGTGAAGTGTGCAAACGACCTGAGATTCCGCCGTGGCTAGCATCGTCTAAGGTCCATGGTGAAAAATGGCATTCAGCTTGTCTTGAGCTTGTGTGAATGTAGGTGAGCTGCGTCGGTATGCGCTTCATCTTGCGCGGGGCTGTGGTCAACCTCGTGGTAGAGCCCTTGCGTTCGTTGCTGAAACAACGGAGCAGTGTTTGTATCATAGGGCGTGGTTACAGGCATCAACGTGCTCAAGCGAACGATCTCCGCCATCACGGTGTCCAAAGCTACGTCAGCTGCACGGCATGCGAGTTTCACCAAAGTTGAGTTGAATGCATCCACTGTGCAGTCCAGTTTGCAAGCGCTGCCCCCGGAAAGCCCGTGGCAAGTCGTGTGGGACGCACACGGGTTATGCCAGCACTGCGACCATGTATACCATGTCCATCGCGTTCCAAATCAACCCACACTGGTCGTGCAATTGGTTGTGGGTTTCGATAGAGTCACCAACTGAAACGAATGCACAATCGTAGGACGACATTGCGACGCATCTTCGGGCCGCCCAAGTCGAACTGGTGCAACTCGTCGCGATGAAAAACAAACGAAAACTCGACGGGGCCATGTCGCGAGAAATCGTGCAGCATTCTATCAACATCAAGACACACCATGAAAAGATATGGCAGCTCCAGAAGCAACGAGAACAGAGCCAAGGCGCGTGGTGTCCACATTGTGGCCACCGCACAATCCTCAACAACGTCAACGTGTTGGAGGATATGTTGGAGCAACCGAGTGAATTCCGAAGTGATTGATGTAGCGTTATCTGACTAGCTGGATGTACGTCTCTGTCTGTTGAAATCTAGAGCTATCGGTGTGGTGCAAGTGTAACCGTCGGTGTCGCCGTACTTCAACACAACGTAGCTTGAGTTACCACTTCAGCAGCCCGTGCCATCCCGCGGGCAACAATTAATCTAGCGCTAGCACCGCCCTGGACTTGCTGTGTGCTTTGGTAAACCTCGCTAGGCTTGCGCAGCACCACCCGCCCACTCAATTCAAAATGGTACGATCAACGCAATCCGGATAATCGGGAGCATTTCCGGATACGATCCCTATTGCTTGCTGAGGCACCATGATGTTGAGCAAGCGAAGTGCGGCCAAGGCGGCGGCAGCGAAGCGCGCTCTGGAGGAAGCCGCGGTAGGGATATCCTCCAGGCTTATGATCCAGGAGTCTTGTTAAAAGTGCGTACGACTTGCCCTAGGCCGAGGAAACAGTGCAGCATGAACAGAAGAAGGCCAAAGTCGTGTGCGCCGCTTCGTTTACCGCGCATGGCATGAGCGAGCACATGACCCCATCTGGCGTCCACGTGGCGCATTTGTTTTCATCGCTCGAATTTAGCTTGACCACAATGGCGCTGTACCATCGTACAGCGAGTTTCTCGTTGATCAAGGCTGCGGTCGAGTCGTCGTGCAAGTGGTGCGATGTCCCATTCGATTCGGTGCCGCCTCCTTCTCACCCATTCATCCCTAGCTCCTTTACAGAGTCGGACCTCGCACGGATTGTCGCAGTGTTCCCCGCTGCATACGACTTGTCCTTTACCAAGCCCGCGAACAACGTGACTCGTCCGGAGTGGGTCATCCAGCCCACATCCACATCATACAACGCGCGCATGAACGAGTTTTGTGCAAATTTGAACAAACTGCTCGCTGACCACTTGGCAAGAACCCCCAATGCGTCCAAGGAGGTTTCATTGGACTTGGATATACCCGAGGTAATTGCACTTATCAGTGTCGTCGACATCGCAATGCAGGGCAGGTGGTAGGCAGCGCTGCCTTCGTTGGAGGAAGCGGTCGGCCCGACTCCCATGGCTCAGCTGCGGGAGCAAGAGCATCGCCATGCCGCGACATTAACGCCACTAGAGCAAGCAACTTACCTCGCCAAGCCAGTGCCAAAAGAGCTGCAGGGCTTGCCAGCGTGGCTCGTGGACAAGGTGCCACCTCCTTTCTCGGTTCTCGATTGTTGGGGTGACCTGTTTTTTGTGTGTGCCATTTCCTGCAGGCGTTGGCTGTGTGCTTTGGATCTATCGAGCTGTGGAATAGGTGCGGACCGCCGAGTGGCGCAAGAAGGCGCTTACAACCAAGGTTGCCAGTGGCGACCGATTGCTCGCGACGTTGCCGACCTTGTGCGACCAAATTCAAGCGTTCGCGTCGTTCACCGGCAAGTCTGCATTTGACCAGGAGACGCTCGTAAAGGAGCTGAACAAGGCGCCGATGCCCGGTACGTCCTTCGTCCTTGGGATGGCCGGTCATGTTGGAGAATAGAAAAAATCAAAGACCAAATTGCACTGGTGGCCGAGAAGGTTCCTTTCTGGCTCACGGTCGTGCCTCATGGCAAGGCCTACGTCGTGAGGCTAAACTCCAAGCAAAACTACCGCGTTGTCAGGCAAGTACTGACCAACTTAACTGTGTAAAGAAGCCCAGCCGAAGACGCATCCACCGTCTTCAACATCCCAAGCTTACCATGGCATCGAGTTGTACATCCAAGTTGAGCTGGGAAGGATCGCATGTCTATTCCCTTTCAGCTGTAGCCGATGGATTCGGTTTTCAATTCGGCCGTGGCGTTGTTCAGAACATTGTGTGGTTTTGATCGGGAGGCACGGAATGGAAGGAAGGCGGCTTAGCTCACGAATGCAAGCATATGAAATGGGGCTGCAATGTTGTGGATGACTTAACGGGTCGAGCTCAAAAGGACAACCCACTTGATCCCATTGGAAAAGGAGCTAGGAGCAGACGTTCCCCAGTTGGTATCCATCATGTCGACAGCCTACCGGTGTGGTCTCGATGCGGTGGCGGTCGTTCATGCCTGTTCGGTCCATGGCGCGACCCTTCCTCGTAAAGCTTGGCGCAGCGGCAGCAGCGCCACTGCCCGTCTATGTTCATAAACAATGCATGCATAGGCGAACGTGAGGGCGAAGTTCATAGAGGCAAGAAGGCGTCGCTTGGATGGCGGACCGTGAGCGGATCGATCAAGGGCTCGACAACGGAGATGTGCGAATGAAAGAAGAACGCGAACTGCAACGTTAGCCAGAACACCGGCAGCACATGCACCCATGGACCAGAAATCGCTGAGGTCGTGAAAGCCATTGCACTTCCTTGAGCATGGCGAGGGCAACGGATGCATGAGCGCGACCGGCGCTGCCACGAGCGCAAATGTTTGTTCAAACGGACGCCCGATGCGTAGGTACCGGCGTACACAGACGAATGCAGCAGCGTGCCGATGCATCAAGATCTTGGCGGGTGCTGACCCGAGGCTTCGTGGCCTTTCGATGCAGTTGAGGAGGCGGCTTTGGTGAGTCTCGGGCTCCTTTGTCGACAGCTCGATTGCCATCGAGTCTGCCGCGACGTCAAAGTGCATCAGCGCGACGATCCCACACATGGCAGCGACGACAATGCCGTTCGTGGAGGCATCATCGTTGCGACATGCGATCTTTCTTACTCGGAAACAATCAGGGCCGCTTGGTCTTGAGCAGCGCGCCGTGGTCCTTGAGCACCAGCACGACCATCGAGGCAAAGGACAAAGGAATTTCCACCTCTTGCAACGGTAACCCAAGACCGGAACCAGTGTGTGCGGATCCCGAACTCGACTTTGCAGCTCCACTCGATCGGCGTGAACGCGTTCATGAGGTTTAAGTTCTTGATGGCATCCGGGTCGTTCTTACGGTCCACACACTCTTCCGGCACAGCTGCCGACGCCATCCTTGCGCGCGAATTGCACATCTTGAACTCTCAGGGTGGTGTTGGCGCCAATTGAGCTATGTGGTCGAGCCCTGGTCTCTGTCGGTGGGCTTCACGTTTGACAAACGCGTCCGCCCTGCATCCCATCGCCCGCCTAGTATCGTAAGTCTGGCGGGACACTATACAGCGTCCCGCCATCGCAACGCATGCTCTTCTCTGGGCCACCCGTCATCGCAGAAAGTGTCGAGCTGGGGCTACCATGACGCGGTCATCAGCGCAGCCGCCGACGACTTTTGAACCGACGACGTGAGAATATTTCGTTAGCCGAGTACAATCTCGAGGTCGCCGACCAAGACCAAACTCCAGAGTCGCAGGCGTTGCAACCTCCAACTCAAGCTCGTAAAGGCTTGCAGCCATGCCACAAGCGGCTGCATATTGCGTTCACGGCGACTAGTGTGCCGCCCAGGTGCTGCGGCAAGGGCAAGTTTTTCCAATGGCATGGCGTCGGCCAGGTTGAAGGGATAAAAATTGTACTGTTCAAACGGAAAACGAGTGGTTTTGTACGGAGTAAACGGATAAACCCGACGTGAACCTAGTTGTTCAAAAGAAATCGGCTGACAGCAGCTCCAGTCGACGCGTGGTGTGTGTGCGGCCCCGCCCGCGAGAGCAGTGCTGCTCCGCTCGAGAATCGAATGGACTTGAAAAGCATGCACAGCCGAAGCGCTCCTGTCAGGCGCGGGATACGAGCCTTCGTGAGGTCGACTAAAGACTCCTGGGGACTCTTGTCGTGCGCGTGCCACGGGTTCACAGGTAGATGGCGCCCGAGGTAAAGCTCCGCCTTGTACTCGCCGCATTCCGTGAATCGTTAGCACTTGCAGTCGTCGTTGGTGATAACAAGATCCACGTGGACTGCGCCACTGAAGAAGCGAGCTGTCGAAAGTCGCGGGTCAGAAAAGGTGGGCGGGGCTCGTGGTAGACCTGCCAAACCAACTGTACCCAACAACTCCGTGCTTCACATCTGCGACGACTTCGATGGGCGACGTGTGCAAGAACGGTATCGCACAGTCCGCCTGCGCTATAAGCACATCATGAGCAGCGCGAACAACTGGTACGGGTGTACAACAGTTCAAGCAATTGCGAATATCCATCGAGGCTTCGGGGTTTCGGCGGGGAGGTCGACGTGCGGCAATCACCCTGCACAGCGCTATACCTTCGCATCCCCCCCTCGCCAAAGCATACACGCATGAAGGGATCTTGGTAGGACGGCATTGATTGAACTTGGTTCTGCTGGACGGACCACACAACGCGTACACGCCGACTTACTCTCGACTCATCACGCAGCACGTTGTTAAGCGCAGTCGAGAGCTCCTCCGACGCTTGTGCGTCGGAGAAGCGGCACCAAAGCCAGTGACTCGACGTGCTCAAGCGCCTTGGCGGCGGCGCTTGCGTCCGAGCGACTTTGAAATTCATTCGAAAATTTCCGTGTATTTTAAAACTGGCAATTGAAATTCGATTTCCAATCGAGAGCGCGATGCTAGCGCGCAAGGTTGCAGGAGGAGGCAAGGCGCGAGGGGGCGTTGGAGCCGACGACGCTGCGATTCCAAGACAGGTGACGTTCACGGCGCACGACATTCGGTCGTCGCATTATAATGCGTCGCCGACGGTGTTGGAATGGTCCGCAGTCGACGGCCGCGTGTCGTCCGTGAAGGGTGCAACGTGGCGCGTCACCAACATCGTCCAGTACGACGACGACCCTCGCGACCTCCAACATGTTGGACATCATTCGTTCCTCGTAGGTTGCTTCGTCGTGAGCTCTTCGACATGTTTCTTCCGTTTGGTTACCCCGACAGCGTCAGCGACGAGTACCTCACATTCCAAATGTGGGATACGTGCCAGGTGTCGCGTCCGACGTCACGACGTTGCCATGCTGAACACCCTCTCTCTCTCTCTGCAGGCCATGTGCAGTTATCTCCGCGGCGTCCTCGCTACGCAATCCGTGCTGGAGAGCGTCGGGGTCGGCAAAGGTATGTCAACGTTCCGTCGAAAGCGCCGTGGCAACGCTGTCTAGATTCCGTCACACCCTTGGCGGCGGCGCTACAGTGGGTTATGCGAGACGGCTCGGGCATGCTCGGGGGACTCTTCTTCGCGTACATTGTCGGGCCCAAGTTTGACGCGAACGTCAAGTTCTGGCGGCTGTACGCAGACGTCATCAACGATTTCGGGCTCACGCTAGGTAGAGTCGGCGTGTCCGCACATTCTCGTCCAGATCCGAATCGTCCTGTCTTAGACATGCTGGCGCCGTTCTTTCCTCTGTACGTAACCGAGATCCTGTGCGTATCGTCCGTGTGCAAAGCCATGTGTGGCGTCGCCGCCGGCGCGACGCGGTCGTCGCTGACAGCCCATTTCGCCAAGCACGAAAACATGGCGGGTGCAGTGTCATCGCGCTCATTCGCCATGTGCGTCAACCTGCGTCGAGTTGTGTAGATATCGCGGCCAAGGAAGGGTCGCAGGAAACTTTTGTCAACATGGTCGGGCTCGTCAGTGGCATGTACTTTGCCAACGCCGTCAACCAGTCGCGGACGACGGTGTGGATGGCATTTATCTTTCTCACGGGCTTTCACGTTGTGGCGAATTACCTGGTAAGCGTCTTGATATTGGCACGACTGGCGAGACCGTCCTCGTGCCACTCCGCTGCATCGACCTTCCGCTCGCTGTGGTCCATCCATTTGCCCGTCGTTGAATATTGGGCTAGGCTGTGACCACGCTGTGCATTCCAACTCTCAATGTCCAGCGCGCATACCTGGCGATTCAACGGTATCGCAGCAGCAGCACGAAACAGGTGACTTCCGACCGCAGGACACGGCTCGTACTTCGTGCATGTAGTCGCTGTCGGTGGTCGACATCAACCACGCCGAAGTGATTTGGGGCCCGCGGCTGCCGATCTCGATGGGCCACCACTTGCCGGCCGCCCACGTCCCCCTCGGTCCTCTGCTCGCGGCGTATCGGTGCGACTGTTGGCAACGTTTCCACATGGATCGCTGCGCTCGACTGAAACACGTGTGTGTGTGTGTGGTGCGCAGGGATGAACAGTACGTGCTGTGGGAAGATGCTGCTGGGCACATTCATGTTTTCTTGTCCGTGCATGCCAAGGTACCCCCGGTGTCGATGTTGACTTGGCGAGGAGCGCTTGACCGGTTTGCGTAGCCAGTGGACGAACTCCGAGCGTTCTACCACGTCACAATCGTGCTGACGTCGCCAGCCAAAGGCAGCGGCGCGCTCGCCATGATGCAGCAAGAATTTCCGCTCTTTTACGAGACCATGCACCAGCACGAGTGGAAGCTGACGCACATCCCGCTCGGCACTGGCTACGTTCGTTTCAATTGGGAATAGACCGACGGTTGGTCATGGCGCATGCCAGCGACACCGCGTCCAGCGCGATCGGTCGTTTGCAGCAGCGAGAATTTGAACACGACCTTGCGTGGGGATTGTTTTTCTTGGACCTGTGCAACCAAGACCACCGCGTGTGAAGGTGTGAAGAGGACTAGTTTTGGTAGTTTGTCATGGCATTTACGAGTTATCGGGGAGTTAAGACGAAGAATTGAAGCAGCGCGATATCGTCCCCACCCATGTCGCTGGTGGGGGAAATGAGCTGCTGGAGTGGAGTCAGCGGATCGTGTGCGAGGGGCACGATCGGGATGTGAAGGGGATTCGACAACAGGAGGCATTTGTCGAAATCCACGGGCAGTTGCGCTTGTGTTTGCAATGGACGGTCCATGGCGTTGCGTGCTTTTTGCGCGAGGCGGTCGATCCGGTACTTGGTGTCGCTCTTGCGCTTGATGCTGTTTTGCTTGGCCCGGTGGAATTCGCACAGAAGAAGTGGTCGGCCACTTCGTTTCGTGGCTCGAGCTAGCGGACATCGCCCTGTCTTGTATCGGCATCGCATGTCGAGCGGGACGACCGTGCCCGCCGCGCTTGCGATCGCTTCCTCGTACGATCGATGGTGCAGTTGATGCCTCGAGGGCTGTGATCGAGGTGCAGGAGCGGATGCTGTAGGCTGTCGAGACGTCACGGGCAACGTGGACGAACCGAGTCGCCCCAACGAATTGTCCGAGCATGGCTCGGGCGTCGGTGGCTCGGTTTTGACGTCGTGTGTGGCGTGGTGGGCTGGTTGTGCCTCCAGCTGCATTGCTCGTGGCGGCCGGTGTTGCTTCAAGGCAGCTTGCGCCGCCCTCGCCATTGCGCCGTCGTCGATCACGTCCATCGGCGGAAGATGAAAAATATGGACCGACGTCGTTTTGCATTTCGTCGAGTCGATCGATGGCTGTCCATGATGGCCACCATACAAACTTCAAGTTTATTTTCATGCCAATAGAGGTCGGTCGCACGATCCAGCGCCACCTGGCCACGATATCCGGATGATAGCCGCAACCATCCAGCATCGGATCGTGCAACCAGGTTGGGATCGTTTCGGGGGCGCGCGCCCTTCACCCGAGCTCTTGGCGGCACAAAGCGCTCAAGTCTCGCCCGTAAACGTGCCAGCAGTTTCCCCGAGAAAGGGGGCAACGCGTGTCGACTCGAACGAGGCGCATTCCTCCCCCCCTCGACGACGAGTGCTCCACGTTTCGCCCTGCTGAGGGTCGTGCGGTGGCAACGATGGCAAGCCTTGCAAACGCGCCTGGGCGACCACCGCCCCTTTCATGGACAACACGTCGGTTCGTCAACGTCGCCCAGACAACGAGTCCACACCGAATACTACATCCAACGAATCAGATTTGCAACCGCTTTTTCAACCCTTGAGAACGTTCCTTGCGATATCGGAACGTTCCCCGACCGTAATCAACGAGGGCATCGACCATGGCGTTTTCGACAGCAGCCCAATGTCAAGGTTGGGGGGATGGGTGGGTTTGCCTGGATGCCATCCTGCTTGCCCTCTCGCTCGAGCGACCGACTCAAACATGCCGCGATTGCGAAAGCACGGCGGGCCGTGTGGTTCCGTGCCAACGGTAGCTGAAGGACTGTGTCCCGTTCAAGGTCGTGGTGTCGCTGGGGAGTCCCCGACTACGCTCCTGTATCGAACAACACCTCAACGCACACACTTGCTGTTTTCTGCGTTTGGATTTTCCACATCTCGTTCACTTCTTCCGACTCGCCGCCGTCCTTTCAAGTGGCGCTGGCGTAGTGCTCGTGCACTTTGCCGTCCAAAAAGTTGTGAAAACGCTTCCGGGCGTCGCACGTGAACCACATGCTCATCAAGTACCGCGCGCCGGATTCGACGGGCCGGACCTACCACGCGCGTGAGGTCATCGCAGCGTCGGCTTCGTATACGTTTACCTCGTGCACGTTTTCCGCGCCCGACGTAAACATCATGAGCCGACCTACTCGTCGACACAGCCAACGTCAACAACTTGCATGGCCGGGACGTCTGCGGCGGCGACTTTCAACTGGGGCGGCACACGGTTGCAATCACGAACCTCGTGCGGGCTCGACCGTCGTGTTTCGATGGTGGTCGAGGAAGGCAAACATCCCGCCCGTGAACTCGACGCCGTAGTCGGCCAAGTACAGGAGCCCCGAGTAGTCGTAGTGATGCGTATTGTTTTTGTCGACGTGAGCATGCCTAGACCATGGACACATCCGTCGATGAATCCACGTGGCGTGTGTGGCTCGCATGCACAATCGGACCAGTACTCGTCATGCAACTCGGCTGGAGTCCACGACGCATTGCCAATGAGGCGCGTGAGAAACGTCGGCGCGGTAAAGTACAGCGTCGTCAGTTGAAACTCATGCATGATTGCGCGGCGAATGGCTTCGATCGTGCTGCAGGCCATCCAGTTAGGAGGACGTTCCAGGGCAAGGAGAACGCAACTCACTCGCGGTACAACGTGTACTGCGCTGTCGTGAACTGCACGGGCGGGTCTTGCCGATACAGGTTGATCAGGCCGTTGCCGTCTTTCACGTAGCCTACGACGGCGATGGCGAATGAGACGACTCGTGGCCGGCGGTACCTGTGTTGATGTCCATGATCGTGGGGCCGCCAAGAGTCGATCGGCCCTGCATGCCATGGTCTGCGATGCCGCGCAACGCGTCCACCACGGCCGGCGAGACAAAGTTGTCTTTCAACGCGCGGCCGCACTTGGTTCGTTTGTGGCATCCTTGGACGAATGGTTTGTACTGCATGCCACAGTGAGAGATGCGCGACGCAGAGAGTGAGATCAACCTGGTTGGAGCACGTAACGTTCCATCGAATGCGCGCCGGGGCGGCTGACGTCGGCAGCCCGATGTGGTGCAACGACTTTGTCGCCATCAGTGCTTGGTAGCGCAGCCATGCCGCGAGCGCTCCAAACACCACAGCCAAGCTCCAAAAGACACGAGGAGAGGACATCCGCGGCGCACCGCGCGTTGGCATTGCAGCTTTGGTCTTGCTGGGTGGTGTGGCGGTCGGCGCTGCTTTGGCTGGCCTTGCCATGACTTGTCGAACGGAACTCGGATTTGGGCAGCCTCATAACGGGAATTACTCAAGATCGTCCAACGAGTGGAAATATTTCTCCCGATCGTCCAAGTTGAACGTCGGTCGCGAGGTATTTTTTTTCCATCGTCTATCGCGACATGATTGGCTAAAAGTCTCATGTGCATACAAACCTCGGAAGTACGTCCCAGGAGGGGTTTATTCATCTCTATTCCAGATTTCAGCGGCCC